TATCTATCTATCTATCTATCTATCTATCTATCTATCTATCTATCTATCTATCTATATATCTATCTATCTATCTATCTATCACACACACAATTATATATTGAACGTATACTTACTGGACACTTCAACTATGTCTCCAGGGACGAGCTGGCTGGCCCTGATCTTCTGGATGCCCTTGGCGCTGGCGCGCACCACCTTGGCGATCTCGGGCTCATACTCCTTCAGGGCCTCGATGGCACTCTCGGCGTTCCGTTCCTGGTTGGGAAAAAGTAACCTTTGTTTGAGCAAAGAGAAGCACATCGACACAATAATGGTCATTTAGTGCAGTGGGAAAAGTAACATTTTTGGGGTTCGAGTAAAGAAAGCACATTGACACTATAATGGTTTAAGGGGAGAAGGCAAGTAGTCGTTTGTGCAGGTGACTGTCTTGGACTTGTGGCCGTAAGTGCAGGTTCGACTGCCCTGTATACGAAATGAATACAGCTAGCGGCATTGCGTTGACATTTCCATAGACTTCAGGCTCTAAATTGTACATTTCTTCCATATATATATACACATATATATATATAAACCTGCAGTTTGATTGCCGTTGTTTGTTTTAATGGATTGGTAGCTTTATTGATTACAATCAATGTATCTACTCACATACCAAATGAATACAAAAAGTCATAATATTGGTGTTTTTTAAAACCACCATTGACATAATTTAGAAAATTTAGGAAGCGGGCTTTGACCCTGCCTAACAGGGCCAATCAGAAAAAACAAGATACTCTACAACAATTTTCCCAACATGGCATGGGGATTTAATTCAAGTCCTCCGCGTGCTAAAGTAATGCGCCTAACCCCCAACCACAGATGCCAGTGAAAAAAAAAGTATTCAATCATAAAGAAATACAGACAAGAATAAAGACATAAGCTACCACCGTAGTTACCACTTCTAGCGTACAGAGTCGACGAACTCGGATCTACCCTCATAATAATCTCTCTACTGGGCCACTTGAGCGATACCATGGGATAAAATGAAGCGGTCACAAAGGGCTGAGTAATCGACACATTCCATTTGTATCAGTTTATCAAGACTCTCCGTTCAGTTTTAATGCTGTTACTTTCCAGGTAACATAACCCCACTGCATACGGTCACACACACACACTCTCTCTCTCTCCTCTCTCCCCTTTCCTCCCCCTCTCTCTCTG